GGGCGGCGACGGCTGTCGGGGCCGGTAGTCGGAGGCAACGGCCGGCAACGGTGGGTGAAGGCCTCTGCAAGAAGAAAAAGAAAAAGAAATCTAAAGGAATAGAACCTAAGCTCTAGATACCATGTTGTGATTCAGGAATTGTGTGTATTGGTGTACACACACCAATCTTATTTATATAGTGAATACAATAAATGATAGAGATACTAATCTCTTATATTGTGGAAACTAATCTAATCATATCCCTAATTGATAGTGAGGATAATAACCATAATATATGTATCCACAATATCTGTAATATATTCACAATATCTGTAACAATAGGGAAAGAAAACTTGAACAGAGAACCTGAAAACTATTTTTTGTATTATTATTCAATTAATCATTGAAATTATGGTCCATTATGGAATGGTTATATATTTGTATTATTTCCCTCCATCTCTCTAGTGGCCATCTGACTAGTTTTTTTCATGTGATATCTTGTTATGATTTACAACGATCATGTCATATTGTAGGTCAAAAATTCCATGTTAACTATAACATCTTGTTTATTTGGCAGGTAGAAGATTTTAAGGACCCAAATGTACATCATTAACTTATTCTGCATCTATTTGGATTATTTCCAGGGCACACAATTAGTCTCGAGAAAACTATAGACCTCTGTAAGGCTATGGAAATAAGTCTAATTAAAAGAGGTATTTTATGAGAGCTTTATTTAAGAGCTAAACTTTTTTAAGAGATAATAGTTATTTTTTCTTACAACATGTATGGAACCACATCTCTTATTCTTTATTATGATGATTTTGCGATTTTACTCTTTCATTATGATGGTCAGACTAGTGAATGGGATCAATTTGAGTGGTCAAGGAATGCAATCCATATTAGTGCAAGGAAACAAACAAAATGGTATAATTTTTTCCTATCATTTTTTTGCATTTAACTCGTGGAAGCCGTCAGGATTAAGCATGGGAAGTTTATTTGTTTGTGATCATATTTAACTTTGGGGTTCTTAAAAGACCTTATCGTAATGAGAGCGGTGATCTTGTTGCTTTACTCCTTTACTTTTATACAATTTTCTCATACTTGGTGTTGTGCAGGTGGTATGCTAAAAGATTTTTGCACCCTGATATAGTTTCAGCCTATGAATATATTTTTATTTGGGACGAAGATCTTGGAATAGAACACTTCAATGGAGACAAGTATTATTTTCGTTTGTCTAGCCTTCTCATATTTGACACTGTAACTTTTAGTTTGTTTAATTAACTCTATTATTCACTAGGTATATTAATTTAGTTAAAAAACATGGTTTGGAGATCTCTCAACCTGGTCTTGAGCCCAATAATGGGTTGACATGGGAGATGACAAAAAGGAGGGGTGACAAAGAAGTTCACATGTATTCCTTTGCCCTTGATTTCTTTCTAACTTTAGTCATTGATGTAATAAGGTGCTTCTTTTATCATGTCTTCATGTGTTCCTAGTCTTAACACATTTTTGTATGTGTTGGCAAATAGGATTTCAGAAGAGAAACTAGACTGGTGTAGCGATCCACATTTGCCTCCTTGTGATATGTATGCTCTCTATTCCTTTTTTCAAAGTTGAATTGTTGTATTGCAATATCATTTTCTTAGATTTTCTTATTTTCTTTTCCTTGTCTACTTAGTTAACATTACTATATCTTTCGTCATTTTAGATTTGTGGAAATTATGGCACCCGTCTTTTCCTAATGTTGAGTTTGAACTTTGAATGCTTTTTGTTAGCCTTGTTGATAGGTGGGTATGCTTTAGTTGGTCATACGTACCTTCAGGTGCCAAGCTCATAAGAAGCTATATGATTATGAATATAATCAAATGATCTAATTAAAGATTAATTTTTTTTTTCCTTTTGAACTTATCCAACACCATATCCTGGTTTGGTAAGCATGTGGTGTGTGTGTGTTTCTGTTCATATTATTGAATTATAGCTTGTTCTTTTTCTTTAAGTTACTACACAGATTAATTTTATCATGATTATGGAAATTGCAATTCTTGAAATGCATTTAATATTGGTTTTTTATGTTCTGGAATTAGTCAAAGAGGCTTCCACATTATCATTAATCTTCATATTTTTGCTTTTTTGAGTGCAGAACCGATATACTTTGTGCTAAATAGTAATAAATATGGGTTTATGATCTTATTACACAAATAAAGTATTCTTAGAAGGAGCAATTTGATTTACTTTAATTAGTTTTAATTTGAATCCCATTTTCATGTTTTATCAGCCAGCACATGAAAAAATTGGTGTAATTGATTCACAATGGATTGTTCATCAAGTAATTCCTTCACTTGGTTGTCAGGTTAGTCCTCACTAGCTTTCAACATATTTTGGGCAATTTATTTTCTTTGATGGTTACATTTTAATTGAGTTCTTTTGTAAAGGAATCTATTTATTGGGAGTGTCTATAGGTTATGTTTTGTTAATCCTAATTTTTTACTCCAACAAGTCATTTTTTCTTTTTTGTCAAGTTTTTTGATTTATTAAACAAGTTAAATTGTATATCCACTTTACTTAAGCAACACAATTGAGTAGAATAGTGCACCATACAATTTCTGTTTGAGATTTATATATATTTATATATATATATATATGTTTATTACAGGTAATCAGAAAGAATCTAAAAAAAATGAAGTTTTTTTTTTATAAAAAAAATGCAATCTACATCGGTTGTCAGTAGACCTGATGTAGATTTGTGTACAAATCTACATCGGTTGTTAGTAAAACCGATGTAAAAGTGTATGTATTTCTAAGTCTCCCTATTCTACATCATTGATGGAACCAACTTCTCCATGAGAGTTATTGGTTGATT